GGTGTGGAGTCAGCACAGGAGGCCAGGCCAGGACTCGCAGGGACAAGTGAGCCCTGGCTGGGTCAGAATCCGTGCACTGTGGCTGCATGACTAAGCTCTGTGGCTGAGCTCTAGGGTCACTGCCCCTGTTCTTGTTCCCCATAGACTTCCCAGAAGTTCCCCAGGGTGCCTGCTCCCAGAAGAGAGTCCCCAAGTGAAGAGAGGCTGGAGCCCAAGAGGGAAGTAAAGGAGACGAGGAAGGAGGGGGAGGAGGAGGTGCCAGAGATCCAAGAGAAGGGGGAGCAGGAAGAGGGGCGAGAGAGAAGCCGGCGGGCAGCGGCTGTCAAAGCCACACAGACACTACAGGCCAATGAGTCGGTAAGTGTGACCTCCACTGGGGGAGCCCAGGGCCAGGAGAAGGGCTGGAGCTGGGCCCGAGGGGGTGGGAGGGAAGGCAGAGTAGGAACATGACTAGGATTGTCATCATCATAAGAGCAGGAAATGTATTCAGTGCCTGATGCTATTAACTCATTTAATCCTCATAACCCTATGTGGTAGGTACTGCCATTGTTCCCATTTCACAGATGAGGAAATTGAGGCCCAAGGTCAGATAGCTAGTAGGCAGCCTGACTCCAGAGGCTGCCATTAAATGTCACACTCTACCGCTTTGGTCTCTGAGACGCAGTGAGCAAGGATTTATGAAAACGCGAAGGTGTGTGGGACATGGGGGAAGCATTCATGAGGTGTGGCTCAAGCAGGGCTCCCCTAAGAGAGCTGTGTCCCTGACAAAAACGTCTGGAACTGAGCTGAGGTCATTGGCGTAGCAATAATGGCCCCTCACCCATGTTCTCTGCAAAGTGCTTTCCTGCCCCTGATCTCATTAATTCGGCACAAGAACCCCATACAGTGTGAACCCTCGCTTGGCAGATGGAGGAAACCGGGCTCAGAGGTACTCAGTGACTTGCCTGAGGTTCCACCCCAGGTCCTAGTGCAGTGCTCTGTCCACCACATCACAGGCCAAGAAGCAAGACCTCCAGCCAGAGCGGTTCTTGTCAGGGAGGGGTCCCCCGAGAGAGGGTGGGGATGGGAAGAGTCTGTTGGGGGATCTGCTCTGAGAGTTTTTTTATTTCGGTGTGTACACTCTGTGGACAGGCTCAAGGGAGTTCTGCTGACGTTTGCCAACATTTTCCTGTAGGGTCGACCCAGTGCACATGCTTATGACTTCTAATAGCCATCTGGGGCTCCCCTAGCCCCTGAGTACATGCCCTGAGCACCCCTCTCCAGGTCAGCACAAGGTGTCTGTCCTCTGCTCTCTGGCACCTGCCTGGCGTTTCCCATGGTGGCTCATGGTGTCGTGAACTAGATGCCTGCACATCTTCCCCTTCCACGGGACTGTGCACGCTCCAAGGAGGGGCTCCTGTCTGTCACCTCTGTATCCCCAGCACCTGTGCACCACATGGACTTGAATCTCACTTATGGAATCAGGTCATGAATGGACTACATGACTGCAACATGAACACGTGTGTCATTAATTGAGACACCAAGTCCTGTCAGATACATGGAGAAGTCCTGTGGCAGCTAGGGCTGTCCCACAATTACCGTACCAGCAACTTTGTAAAGATAGAGTTGGCCAAAGATGGAATGGGTTGCTGAAAAGGCAGTGAGTGCCTTGTCACTGGAAGGATTCAAGAGAATGCCAGGGCGGAAGTGTCTGACCTTTAGGAGTCCTCTGTTCCCTAAAATTCCAGAATTCGGGATCCTGTCTTCCCCAGATTTCTCAACGCCTTCTTGTTTGATTCTCTCCAGGCCAATGACATCCTCATCCTCCGAAGCCATGAGCCCAACGCCCCTGGGTCTGCTGGTGGCCAGGCCTCAGAGAAGCCAAGGGAGGGGCCAGGGAAGCCACGAAGGGCGCTGCCTTTTGCAGAGAAGAAGAAAAAAACAGAGACATTTAATAAGACCCAGAATCAGGAGAACACTTTCCCTTGTAAAAAATGTGGCAGGTAAGATGCATCTCCATGGGGACCGAGGAGGGAGAGTGTTGGTGGTTGGTAGGCGGGTGGTAGGCGGGCAGAAGGAGGAGGCAGTCTGAGCTTTCTCCTTGTCTTCTGATTGGCTCAGAGGGTTTCTAGGGCTGTGATGTCACTCAGCAGAAGAGGGAAGATGGCACTGAATTAGGAACTCGTCTCTGCTTTAGTTGGAGGGTGGGGGTAGGCTTAGAGGCATTCGCCTAGTCAGGAAGAGTCAGGGACACACACACCCCAGCTTCTCGCCCACCCCCCTACACACACACTCTAGCCTGGTGGCCCAGGGGGTGGGGACAGACCTCTTACTTGAGCCCTTCTTGCCTGGCTGCAGGGTGTTCTACAAGGTGAAGAGCCGCAGCGCCCACATGAAGAGCCACGCAGAGCAGGAGAAGAAGGCTGCAGCTCTGAGGCAGAGGGAGAAAGAGGCTGCGGCGGCTGCGGCCAAGGCCGCTGCCTGCCCCCTCCTGAAGGAAAGCGCTGGAGAGAGGAGCTGAGGACGCAAGGCTCCGCCTGGAGACCCAGGACTGGCCCTCTGCCTGGGCGGCCCGGCTCTCCCTGCACCAGCCTTGTCAAAGCGCCGCAGGCGCCCAGGAACTTACAGAGGGATCGAGGAGAGATCACGTGGACTTTTCTCCAGAAAAACAAATAAGACAATAAAATAAACAGCTCTTTTATTTATAAAGGCCCCAGGAGCAGTGTTAAGGGCTGCAGGATCCAGTTCTCTGTGCATTCGGTCTGTCGGAAGTTGTCCTCATGTTTTCCTGGAACTATGAGCATCCCTGCTTGCTGGGGCTGCCCTCTGGGAGGGGCTCCAGCCGTTGCCACTGGTGCCTCTCACACTGGTTCCCCTGCTGCTGCGCAGTCTCTTTGCTTCCTCTTCCCCCAGCTCCCCTTGGTCACCATGGAGAGCAAAGCACAAGGTCACCCCCATTGTAGCATTATTCCTCCGCTCCAGAGGACCTCAGAGGCCCTCCCCTGAGCGCTGGAAAAGGGGAGCTCACCCCTGCAATCCGTGTCCAGGCCTAAGCTGGTCCAGCGCTCCTGTCCTCACAGAGGCCTCTCTCCCTTTGCTACTTGCTAGCAGCCTGCTGGGGCTGGAAAGTTTTCTCACATGTTTGGGGAAAGGCCCATGTTCCTGCCCAAGCTCTCAGCCTGCTGGAGGAAGAGGAACTGTGAGGATGGGAGCTGCAGGGCTGGGCCTGAGGGCACTTTAGATAAGCCTTGGCTCTTCCTGCTTCCCACCTTTTGTGCCAAATACCTTTGGGCCCTAGAGACTGCTAAGGGAGCTTAGCCCAGGCCCAGCCTGCCCCTCCTTGGTGCAGGTTTCCTGCTTGCCTCTGTCCTGGCCTTGGCAGCTGCCACCTAACCCCACCCCACCTGGTCCAGCGCTGATATCCACAGCCCAGCCCCCAGTCCTGCGTGCTGGAGATTTCTGGATCCTTCCCTGGGAGGGGGAGGTCTCCTAACCAGATTGGACAGGAGCCTTCATTCCTTGACTTGTGTCATTTGGGAGCTATTTATTTATTCTTAATATTTAATTTTTAACATCCTCTCAGGGACCAGGGGCCGCCTGCTTTCCAGAGGCCCAAGTGCATTTATCCCAAAACAAGGCACCTTCTTGGCATCCGCGCCACCCCCCTGTCCCCAAAACCCTACTGCCCCTCACCACATTGCTCTGGAAGCTCTTGCCAATAGGAATGATAGTGCCTGCTGAAAGAGGGTGGGAAGGTGGAAGGTGTCACACCTGGAGTAGCAGGAGCAAGAGGGTCAAAGGCAGTTCTTGTTGCTACCTCTTCTCTAGCTGTACTTGCAAATTGCCTGAGAGGATTGGCTGGAGGCCAGAATTCTGGTTTGTTTCTGGCTTGAAGAAGCCATATTTGGCACGGAGTCACTAATGAAAGGACTGGAAGATTCTGGAGGCCCCTTCACTTGCCAGTCCCACAGGAGGGCTGAGTTATTTTTCTGATCTTGTCCCTCAACTGTCATTATTGTATAAAAGTTCAACGTGAATGCAAGTAAAGGCAGGCCAACATGTTAGGAAGGAGCCAAAAAGCATTCTGCTAACTCCTGAGGTAGCCGAAAGGCATCGTGTTGGTAGCTGGGGGTAGGGAGAAAGGTTTTGTTTCTAAACTATGCACTATCAGGTATTTTTCAGCATTCATGCATTTATGTGGTTCTACAAGATCCCAGCTACAGGAGCAACAAAATTCTCCCCCCAGGCTCCTGGACAACTACCTAGATTTCCAACTTCCCAGTTAATTTCCTCCATGAGCTTCTACAAACTCAGTATCCCAAGATTGCAAACATCTGGCATACCCTCCAGAAATAGGAAGGTAGCAAATTTAGTCTCTTCTAAATCACTTGTGTAATATGAGTGCCTTCGCAGCTTTGCCCCAAAGTGCTACTTACGTTTCCCAAGGTTTTTTCTATTTAAATTGTATTTTGTTTCAGGCCTCTTTATGGACATGCTGTAACAAATCTCCTTTGTCTAGAGTGATTCTCCTTTTTCTAAACCCATGGAGACAAGACCAGGTGAATGTAGGCGGAGAAAATAAAAATGGTACCTCTCTGTATTAATCCCACCAGAACCGCGGCATTTTAGAAGGAAGGGTTCGTGCTCCAGGATAGATTTATATCTAGAATGCATTGTGAAAGTTAACATGCTTAGAGGGCAAATGCAATTGCTGCCCGTGACCTGCCAATTAAGTAGGTGCAGCCATAGGAGCTGGCGTAAGTATACGTCCTTTATGGTGCTTTCTCCCTGTGAACACCTTAGGCTCATCTTTAGTTTTTCTTTTCTTTTTTTTTCTTCTACTCAGCGCTCTTTGCTTTAAGAAGTTAAAAATGACAAACACCCCCAGCTTCATAATGCCCTCCCACACCGTCTCACATAGCCGTCTCCCAGCCTCCATCTGCACTCGGCAAGGGCATGAAACTAACCTAGTGCCTGTATTTCCAGACCATTTCTGAGGTCTCTCACCCACCTGAGGACACAGTGCTTCGGAACTGTCCTCCATGCCTTCAGCAGCCCCCTTCCCAGCGAAGGTACACACCCGTCCCTCCTGCCACCCCACCTCCACCCCTGGCACAGAGGTCGTGTGCTGCTTATGTCTAAAGGGATCCCCTATACTTAACTGCCTCAGTGACCTAACCTCTTTCTTCTCATGTGCCAGAGGTTAAATTGAAGGAGGAATACAACTTATACTCAAGCCCGAACTGTTTAAATATGCTTTCACTGGGGCAGACTGTTCTTGGATGGTATTTATTACCAGACTGGCCAAGCCTATTAGGTTTACAGGAAGTATGCATACTTTTATAAAACAGTTGTATGTCCTCCACTATTTTGCTGTGTTAATCTTTGCCTCTGATAATTTGCAGCTGTTTCACCTTTTTCTCATTTGTCTCTCAGTTGAAGGCCTTGTTGGAGGGAACAGCACAGGAACAGCCTTGACAGTCTGTAATTATTGTATAAATATTTTAATAGCATATAAATAACTATATTCCTTTTATTTTGAAAAAAAATGATCAGACACTGCCTTTTGTGTGTTTGCTGCCTGTGGCACCCTTTTTTAAAAAGACTGTTACATATTAAAATAGTGTACATATATATAAATATTACCTCTTTTGCTGTACAGTTGTGATAGACCAGACTGAAGATTTTATTTTTTGTGTGCTTTTTATAAAAAAAAATTAATACACTAAAGAAAATCTTGCTGATGTGATTGTAATGTATCTATGTAACTTATTTACTTTTGAATGTTCTTCTGTATCTTTAAACCTTTTATTAAATAAGGTTTTAAAAATTCAGAGTTGAATGCTGTGTTCTTTAGGGGAGATTTTCACCATCTGGGATTGACGTAAGTAGGCCTTGTTTTGCTTGCGGGGGATTACTGGACATTTTTGAACCATAAGGATTCTGTTTTATCAGCCCATTGTCAATGATGTCAGAACTGGAGAAATTAACACACCAGCATTTTCCTGGCTACAAAGGTTACTGAATATAAATCTTTTAACAAAATTTTCGAGCAATCTCACTTCACTGTCTCACACAAAAACATGTAAATGGCACTCTTCCAAATTTTAGTTTCATTTGGATGAAATATGGAGGGTGGAGAATGCGATAAGGAAGCCCCGTGGCTGAAGAGGGTGTTTTCATGTCAAACCAGCCACAGTAGACACGTCCGTCTTAACGGACGCATTTTCAACAGTATCATCTTAAATCCACAGTATTATTATTATCTTTTAAACGCGGTGCTTTGTTTTAAAAAAAAAAAAACACCTCTGGAAAACATGGAAAAAGAAATGAGCCATCAGAGAAACCAGAGCCCCTGGCTGTCACCATGGCAACCGCTGGACCCACCCCCACCCCGCGCGCGGGCGGCGGGAGCGCGCGGAGCTCCGGTCCTCTCAGGCGCCGTTGCCATGACTACACTGGCGCTGGGTGGGCCGCGGGGGCGGGGGCGCGCGGACCCCACGCACTTGGGCCGGGCCCCCGCCCTCCACTGCGGCAGTAACTGCTTCAGCTGGTTGCGGGGCGAACAACCCGGCGGCCACTGAGCGCCAGGTTCTTCCGAAGCCGCCTAACCCGGCCCCCGCCGTTGCCCGGCGCCTTCCCCGGAACCGCGGGC